AGTGTTTTGTTTATTAAAGTTGACAGTACCTTTTCAATTTTGAGAAAAAGATTGTATGATAAATTCATCATCAAGATGTTAGATTTGATGACAAAAATATTCATCTTTAAAAATGTCTTTTGCTTGATATTCTTTCGACCAGTGTTTGACCAGTTCAATAATACGATAAAAAATAAAAATATTGACTTGAACTTTTCCGATTTGCATAAAACTTTGCAAAATTGTGTGTTATGGGCAATCATTCACATTTTTGCAAAAATTCAGCTATTTTGAATCTTGATTTTTTTATAAGTGGCGTCTCTGTCATTTTTAAATAAATTGTAGCACGAAAATGCCACCCACATCTGATCGAAATGAAGTCTGAGGCAAAGTTGTTATGAGCAGTATTGATGAATCTACGCGAAACTGCACCAGTGCATGCGACACCTAGGTTTGAAATCTAAAACCACAAAAGTGATGATGTACTAAAAAATATTCCATACGATTTGCCAGGTAGCAAAACGTCATTATCATTTTAACATCATTTCCATCTGCTGGACGACCGTAACGTAAATTCATCAATAGTATTTATGGGAAAAATATGTACAGTAATTGGCAATCTAACGATAGCATAATGTGCCACTTGTGGAAAATAGAAGAACTAGAAAAATGATGATAGTACCACAGACAAACAGACATAACACATTGAATATTTCTCACTGAAAAACATCGTCACTAAAACATCTGTTGAGTACACTGTGGTGGGTAGTACGCTGAACAGATGGCGGTAGTGTCAAGGGCATTGACTATGCGCGCCACAGGTGGCGGTACTACCAACTATGATACTTTTAAATTGACCGTTACATACTTGTTCGATGAACAACTTGCGGATGTATGTCTGTTTGATTGTGATAGTACCATAATTTTGCACGGCGAGTTATGGGAGAATATTTGTAAAATGCTTTTATTTAACGAATAAAGTATTTTTATAAATTTGGTTGTGCAAACGAGGTAAGAAAAGTTAAAATGTATAGATCCAAATGAAAACTAAGGGAAACATTAAAAAATTTAAATTATACGTCTATCGGGTAACTTTTGAGGTTTCTTCCCCCGTAGCAGCTTTACAAAAAATGACAAATATTTCATTCGGATAATAAATACTTTTCAAGATATCTTTCCTATACCTCAACGTGCAAAATTTTGAGATCATCATCATTTTTCTATTTCTCCTATTCGCCACGAGCGCTATCGTTAGAACGCCAATAGTTTTTAGTAATTGGAGAAAAAGTGTTTAAAACTGACATATCTCTTAAAGTATATCCGATATTTATAATTAATTTTCAAATCAAGCTCATGAATGCAAGCTTTTGGAGTATTTAAAACCATGCACACTTGAAAATTGACAGAAATCGTACAACATCAACTTTTGGTCATAATTTTAAACTTCTTGTTCTTGTTCTTGTTAACATGCTTTTATGTGTAATTGTTGCACAGATAACGATTTCATTCGCTGCTTGACCGTCTAGCAGTGCAGTTCGGTTTCTGTTCGCTCTGTCGAGTTGTTCGATAAGGGTACTGGCGTGGAATTTTCGGTGCTTAATTGGTTTTGCGCGTTTATTTTATTTGGAGGGATTTGTGCTTTTGTTTGACCACACACCTCCCCCCCCCCCCCTCCGGTTGCATAGGTGTTTGGTGTTTTTGTGCTTCTTTTTGTTGCCGGTGTGACTTGACCGCGTGGATATTAACGTTGACGGCGACTCTGTAGCTCTTTACTCCTATGGAAAAAAATGTGCGTGAAACATGGCGGACTTCGTACTATCCTTTCACTCCACCGAAAAATTCCATAAGAAACTGTCAATCTTTTCTAGAAAAGACGATTTTTCGACGGTGCCGTCAACGCCAATATTGTTGGGTTTTTGCGATGTGCATTGCTTTTGTGTGGGGAGTGAGTTGAGGGGGAGAAGTGATATCTGGTTATTGTGTGGTTGGAGTCTGGAGTAGGAGTTTGGGGGTGACTAGAGGAAGGTATGTGTGGAGGAATCGAGAACGTGCTCCCGGATGTATTGATTTGGTGAGTACGTTCCAGTTGAAGATTGTCATATCACTTCCTAATTTCTGTAGAACAGCAAATAGTGTCGGAATTATTATAGTGGTAGCTGATAATTAAGAACTCTCCATGTAACAAGTATATAATACATATGTTGGCATATCAATTTTGTTATTATATTCCTATTATTATTATATTTTTAATAAGAACATATGTACAGAAAAGAGAAAAGCCTGCCAGTTATTAACTTCTTCAAGAAATGTTTAACCTTGGGTGAGTCATTCTTTTTCTTCAAATTTTATTTCAATGTCATGTTTTAATTACTTTTATTATTGTTGTTACTACAGTAAGAACCCAATATTGTTAGCCCCTCCATGCATCAGGCTTTTATCTATCAATAATTTCACATAACCGTAGTTCTAAATATTTCTTATTAATCTTCAGGGTGGATGTTTAAGGTATACTTTGGTGCAATAAGACCACTGGAAAAGTGCATAGGCTTCGTAGAACATTAGAAAAGATTGTCAAAGAGAGGGTTGACAAAATCGGGTCATTACTATATATTTTATTTAGGTTTTTGCTAATTTTTTTGACGGCAAATTGACAATATACATTTATTAAAATTAAAATTTAAATTCAATTAATAATTAGATTTGATTATTTAATCGTAAGACATGAAAGGGACTTGAAAATGTGCAGGCAAAGTGAAACATAAATTTTGCAGCTTTTTACAAACTAAAATGTCTATATTTTTATTATTCAATGATAAATATATAAAACAGCATCAAAAAACAACTGAAAGATGCAACGTAACATCATTAGATTATCTCTAATGTATGTTTAACGTTTTTTTAATAATGCGTTTATTTTTCCAGGCACATTTGCTGTAGCTTTGCGGAGTTTGGGTTACAAAATTACTTAAAACTAATGTCAGTAAAGCGGGAGCCGATTACTCGCGGCTATCTCGAGGTTAGGGGTGACAAATTGTAACAAACGGATGGCAGGGTAGGGATTGAGAACACAAGGTTTTTTTTCGAGCAATGTGCTCTTGATCTAGAACTGATACTGGAGAAAAAGACGAACATGGGGGTACACCGATGGGGACCTAGCAACTTTAAAGAACACAAGCTGACAGTAACTACTAAATCCTCAGATCTATCCGCTTTAAAAACACATAAATTAAATTAAAATAGTCGAGATCTCGACTCGCCAAGATTTCTCTAACGGGCCGCAAAGGTTGTTTTCCTCGTTGTTTAACGTTTATATGACGATTATATAAGTGAAATTACCCATTTTTTTCTTTCCGGGAGAGAAAATAACATTACTTGTTGATGTATTTATGTGTATACCTGTAAGCATTTATTTAATCAGATATGGCATATGAGTGATGCGGGAGCTTATTGTGTTCGCGAGTCCTTCGTTTAGGCTGGATTCATTGATCCAAATCTTTAAGTTTATTTTCAGCTCTCCGATGATGGAACATTTTAAGATTAATATTAGAATGATTCGCTTTTTTCAGCCTTTGTTCAGGAAAATACAAGAACATTGTAATGCTTGATTACAATTGCATGAAAACTTTTAACTGTCTGATATTCAAATAACCTCGATTTTTCTGACTATTGATTCATTATTAAAGATTAGCAATATTTTCAAAAGCATTCCATATTAAATTCAGCCATTCCATGATGCATAATAAAGAGTTTTTTTCAATTCCAATTAAGTATCAAAAGTTAAAATCAGTTGAATGAATTGAGGTTGACTAAAATTGACCTTTTTGTATTTTGTAATACTTGTTTATTTTACTTTTTTATATTTTATATATTGCATGACTAGAAAATTACTTTTATTTCACATATTTAAAATCTCATTTCATTATTATAACTATAATTATCAGTTGCCTTGCAGATCTTGAAGGTCCAGAAGATGTATCAGATATTGTTATTTACATTTTATTTTATTATGTGATCTATGGTTTTCAAAATTGGGATTTTTTTTTCTCTATTCGGGACCTAACACTACTTCGACCAGTTGATTGATCTATTGTAGTATATCCCGTGTTCTTAGTTTAGTGCATGTCGTATTACTCCATCACTATTGACAAATGATGACGCATTCGATTTTTTTACAGTTGCCACTCTTGCATTTATCGCAAGGATCCGACTCTAATTGAAAGGTCACGCTATTTATACCGCGAGTGTTGAAACACCCTCCAAAGGCGCGCCCCTTTGTCAGTCAAAATTGGATTCTTTAGCAACAAAATTAAGGTATAATGACCATGCATCAGAACCCTAGTCTTAACCACTTCAAACTAGGGAACAACGAATAGAAGATTATGAATCACATAGATGAAGACAACTAACTCATTTTTTTCCTTGTTTCAAGATCATCCTCGGTGGGCAAAGCCGAGTCTTGGCACTATCAACAAGGCATAAAAAGTAACAAGGACAAATCTTATTCCTTGGATTACTGAAAAATCCTGTTCCCCTAGTTTGAAGTAGTCAGGACTAGGAATCGGTGGTAGATCTTACATCACTTAACGTACCACGAAAAGGTGATCTACCCACGTTTCGGGGCAAAAAAATGGGATTACCCAAAGAATTAATTGGATATCATCATGCATTAGGTCAATGTTTTTTAAATTGTTTTAATTTTGCAGAGTTTTGCTATTTCAAGAATTATTCATGGATACTTGTTTGTATAGCTCTTGTTTAAATCAATTTGCTAAGTAAAAATAACCCCTTTTACTTAGCAAATTGATTTTTTACTTAGGCAAAATTGAGTTCAATCATTCCATGAGTTACTGAAATCGAGGTTGTTTGTATTTTTTATATTGTATTAATTTATAATTATTTATTTAACATACATAAATTCTCATTACATACTATATTTACATTAAATATTGCATGATAATATATAAATTCATGCACTAAATTTATTAAACGATGGGACGGGAGGGAGAAGTTGCAATTGGACAATGGAGTGGAGTGCCAACCGCAGTCTAGGAGGAATGTACACTTTCATTTTCTTAATTCTATGGATTCGATTGTGATCGTGTGGATTCTACTCCAACAGTTGCTGTTGGGGAACCGAATTACCTCCGCCTTCGATGTCGACCAGTGCTCCCCAACACTCGCCGGTGAAATTAGGGAAAACAAAGGGCCAACTATTCCCGGTGCTGGGTAAATATCTCCCTTGATCTCCGTGGAAGAGCTTCTTCTATTTTTACCCCAATTAACACGCACTCCGATTTACTAAAACAGGTTTACAAGCACTACATTTATTAAAAACAACTAATTAAAACACATTTATTTCTTAAACTCTAACATTGTTTTTCTTATTCCTAACACACAAAACAGATTAAAATTGCCCGCGCGCAGACTCCACACACGGTCGGTGGTCTGTAGATTTCTACTTCAAAAAATATCCACTGGTCATCGTCTAACCACGATCACCACTCATGCGATGTTTTCGCTCGGGTCCATGAGAGTGACCGCTCCTGTTCTCGCTCCTGAATTGCTCACCACTGCAGCCTATATACAAGCGAAACGATCTAATCCCTCTCGCCTGGCTTGATCGATGACCATCTATCCTCTGCTCGGTGTGTAGATGAGAATACAATAAGCGATGCTGCAAACTCGTTGGAAGTAGGTCACAATTGTGCATAGCCAGTACGAGGATGTAGCTAGGTTGGGCTGATGTTAGTCTCAAACAGTTGCAATGAAATTGACGCGCACTTATCAAACAAACCATCCCGTGAAAAGCTTATCTAGTAAACTGCGAATTTCGTTATTCGTTTTGTTGGATCATAATGTTGGAAAGAGATTCTCTTATTCCTGCGGGTTTCGCGTAAGTATCCCTGCTTACGGGTCCGCTCAAACCATTTTAACGCTTCATACAGCAATATGTTGAATTCAGAACGATAAAAAAATTTGATCTTTCTATTAAGTGGAATCGCATGTAGGGCAAGACCCAAGTTGGATGGTGGCTACTTACATACATACATACAATTTTTACACAGATAACGATTTAGAATGTTTCAAATATTGATTGCTGTGTAGAAATTACACAACAGAGTGTACTAGCAAAATAAAAATTAATAAAAAGAAACCAAAAGTTCTCGTTCAACGATTTTTATCAATTTTCAAGTGTCGATGGTTTTAAATATTCAAAAAGTTTGCATTTTTGATGAGCTTGTTTAAGAAAAATATATAGGGGAAATGACGGCTTAGGCATGACAGACTATTTTAGGCAACCCAAATTGAAACGCTAAGGTTTTCTTGAAATGAAACACACGCATTACAAAATGCTGCTGATTTCGAGTTGCCGATGAAAGAACAGCTATCTAACACGTAGCTCAAATAGAAACGATGCCGAATAAAAAGATGTTGCCCACAATAGTCGCTAGAGTTGATTGCAAATGCTTTCTAACATGAAGCTGTAATGAGATAATTTATTAGATAGAGAATGATCTTAGAAGAGGGTAGGTAGATAGTTCAGTTAGAGTACGGCAGTATGGACATTGAATAGAAGTTGAAAATGAGCGAAGGCGACAGTGCAAGTCAAACAGCGTGCTTAAATTTTAAGATAGCATTTCCAACCAACTCTGAAAATCGCAAACATAGCGTATGAAGTAACATTAAAATAAAAAAAAAACACTTTGAACGTTTCAAAACAGTTTTTGACAATTCATTCGACTGAAATTGTTTGAGCAACTGGCAGCAAAAGATTGTAAACCAACCAATACTGCATGTGTTTGCGTTTCTTAGAGAAAAAGGCTAGCTTAGGTTGCTGAGAATACGTAGATTCCCCTTTGTAATTTGAAGATCTAAAAAATTATACTTGAACTTTTACACTTTTGACGTAGAAGTAAGTCTTTGTCGACTATACTGGGGTGCATATATTAGCTTATCTGTCAATGATAAGCAAATAAGGCCGGATCCAATCTCAACTTTTTCTTTTGTCACCCCCCCCCCTTTCAAAAGTTTGGTATATCACAAAGGGGAAAATAAAAATAAAACTTTCAGTGTACATTTATTTTTTATGCACTGAGTGTTGCGAAGCCGCTCTAGCACGCTCCCTTGCTCGTCCCTTTATTGCCATAATTTAAGTACTGGGTCAGCTGTCATTCGTTTGTGAGCATTTTCCTGCAACGCTGCGCTCAACGATTGTCGTACAGAACAGGCATTAAGCTAAACAAAGTGGCAACCGATTTCATGGCGGTGTGATCTCGTGCTTTAATCAAAGAGGTACCTCTAAGACCAGAAGGTCCCGAAGAAACGTGCTCAAATTTTTGGCTCAGCTCTGGTACTTTCTTCGGTTCCAAGCTTATCGATGCACCCCTCGAAACACAGAACAATCCACGAACCCCTCATTTAATCTGTCAAACTTTCATAGCGAATCAAAACCAACATAGTGTAGTACTAGAATTTCAACTAAAATGGGGTACGTTAATCGATTTACTTGGGACCGATAGGCTAGTCAAGTGTGAGCCAATTTAAAATCATTAGTTTCCTTTTCTACGCGGACGATGTTAAATTATAGGTAATCGTAAATTGCATCCAGGATTGCGACCTGCTACAACAACTGATTATCCAATTCGAAGAGTGGTGCTCAAGAAAATTATTTACAATTAATATTCCTAAATGTAATGAAATAACGTTTCATCAGAAACTGAACCCAATCATCTACGACTACAACATTTCCAACCAGTTTCTCGTACGCGTGAATCTAGAGAGAGAGGGAGTTCTGTTAGATTCTGGACTCACATATCGGCTTCACTATGATAGTATCATCACAAAGGCCAACAGACAACTAGGATTCATCTTGAAAGTTGCTAATGAATTTCGTGATACTCACTGCCTCCGGTCGTTTTATTGTGCACTAGTACCAACAATCGATACGAAACTAACGATTTTAAATTGGCTCACTACTTGACTAGCCTATTGGTCCCAAGCAAACGATTAACGTACCCCATTCTAGTTGAAATTCTAGTACTACGCAATGTTTGTTTTGATTCGCTATGAAAGTTTGGCAGATAAAATGAGGGGTTATTGGTTTTTCCTTTGTTTCGAGGGGTGAATCGATTAGCTTGGGACCAAAGAGAGTACCAGAGCTGAGCCAAAAAGTGGAGCACGTTATTTTGGGACCTTCTAGTCTTAGAGTTACCTCTATGCTAGTACGTTCGATTTTAGAATCCAATGCAATCGTGTGGTGTCCATATCAGACCACTTGGATAAGTAGATTTGAATCAATTCAAAAGAAGTTCGTGATATATGCTCTTCGTAGTCTTCCATGGCAAGATCCTGTGAATTTCCGGCCGTATGAACATCGATGCACGCTCCTTGGGCTTGATTCAACGTAGAAGATTTATTGCACACGCTGTGTTTGTCGCGAAAATTATGTTGGGTGAAATGGCCCAAGTGAACGTCTACGCTCCCGAAAGAGTTTTACGACAGCGAGACTTCTTGTCACTTGAAGCACGTTATGCAGGGTATGGCCAACACGGTCCGATTCCATATATGAAGGCAATATTTAATGAGGTTTACCAGTTCTTCGACTTCAACTCATCCGCAGCAGCATTTCAACGTAGATTACTGGACAGATGACAAATTAGACTGACGATCAGGTGAGTTCCTGTCCAACACCTAGTACAACGAAGAATTTTGCTTCCTTTTTTTCTTTTTTCTTCTCGACTGCTGGAACTGCGGGCTTGCATACAGGATCGCCCACCGCAGCATGGCTCTTCGTTCCATTGGACATAGGTTTAATTACCTATTGACATAGTTTTAAATTTTTATCTTCTCACCTTTGATAATGTATTTTGTAAGCATGAACTTATTTGATTTGTGTAACTGTTCAATGTAATTAGCTTGTAATGTGACTAGAACAAAAGATATTAGGTTTTTATGCCGTTTCGAGTAAAGTCAACCAGCTCAAAAGGGCTTTTCCTCATCGTGCTACATTTCACTAAAGCGTCAAGCTAGATGAGAGAAAGTTTAAAAAAAAAGATCGCATCACTTTTCAATGTGAATCCAGATCTAATTTACCCTTCCCACTAACAAAAAACGTCCTTCCCGTGACAACCGTACACGCAAACCAAAAATCTATTACAATGAATGTTAGTTCCATTTCCTATCATCCTCTGTTCATGAACATCGCAGCGAATGTTAGAAGTTGACCTTACAGGCGATGTAATGGTTTTTTGCCTTTTTTATTTCATGTTCTGTCTGTGCTTTTACCTACACAAGCAAGCATTTGCCTTGATTTATATGTATAACATGGTAGAACGACGCACACCCTTGCCGCGAATCTCTCCAGCAGAAAAAGCATACGAAGTCGAGTGTGAGAAGAAAAGAACGCTTCTTGTTTGCTTTTAGGCTATCGATATTCAGAAGCATGGAGAGAGCAGTGGAGAAAGCACAGGTCTGATAATCGCAACGTTCGTTGTTCAAGTCCAGTCGGCAACCTTTTTCCTATTTTTTTTTTCGACATAATAAATTTACCTCACTAATACACTCTACATTTTTCGGTCTCCAATTTTCTTGCATTGGACCGCAGCTAGGTATATCACATCCTCGGTTCATGCGGTCACCACTTACATCCTCTGATGATGAATCCCACATAATTGTAAGCGAATCTTACATCCACCGGTTGGGTGGAGAGAGATGCAGAGGTATACTCGGTCTCAAGTAGCAACGGTTCTTGAAATAACAATCCTTTCCCTCTCCGTTGACCGTAAGGACGTGGCCGGTAAATCAGGGAGTAGGAACTACTGAAATGTATGGTCGTCAATGCTCATGCTCATGCTCATGATGAATCAAAACTTTTAAGTTATGTTATGTTATTCAATCCTTTTAAAGTTGTCAAGGCTTTCCTGAAGTGATCCAAAATATCCAAAAATACCAAGTATTAAAGCATTGGATTCGAATGTTCTGGAGTGAATCCACATTAGCTGATTTAATCCCTTTCCAAAATGAATCCAAGGTCTCCTGCATTAATTCAACTTTTTCCGAACTGAATTCAAACTTGTCAGTTAACGGCGCCGGTGGTGTAGTGGTAAGCGTGATTACCTCTCACCCCAGCAGGCCTGGGTTCAATCCCAGTCGATGCCGCCGGGATGTTCTGAGGCATAACATCTCTGACCACGCCTTCCTTCGGATGGGAAGTAAAGCCGTTGGTCCCCGGTTCATGAGTTGATGGGTCGATAGTTAGGGTTCAAGTGTGGGAGCTGCCTTCCTGGCACGTTGGTAGCATTGGTGCTCAGCACGGAAAACAAGATCGACGGAAAAAACAAACCAAAGGAAAAAAAAAACTTGTCAGAACGGGATTGAAATTTTCCTAAGTGTGTCCCATATTTTTGTTAACTGTTTGGCATTTGGCTAGGACACAATCTAGTTTAGGTCATCTAGCTTTCCTAAAAGTGTAGAAAGTTTTCCGAAGTGAACCGACACTTTTTTGAGCAAAATTTTTTTAAACGGAGTCTAACCGTTTCTGAAGTCACCGCCGGGATGTTCTGATCAATTTGGGTTTCCTGTTCTGCCATGTTATATTTGAATAAGGAGGAACTATCGAAAAAAACGTTTTTTTTTTATAAGAACTATTAAGTATGTGGTATTCCGCTTGATGGTTTAACCGGAATTTATAAAAAAACCCAAAAATCACTTACATTGATCCTACTGATCTACATTATTACCAATGTTCTTCCTTGAAAGGAGACAAAAACTTATGCGCGAAATGTCCCGAGTGTTACACAAAATAAAGTCAACATTTGTGGTTCTTGTTCTGCATTAGTGTAAAAAATAACGGCTTCAAAGAAGTATAAGACTAAATCGAAGGCTAAGAAGTAATGTAAACGTTTGAAATATACGGTTTAGATGTGATGTAAACCAAATTTTGAATGTAGGGGAAATGGATGTAATGTCGGTCTAAATGCCCCTAATTTGGGCCCATACAAAAATTCAGCAATCGACTAAATTTTCAATAGCGACCAAAAATATCCATGAGTACCGTCTCAATGACGCGTTCATCTAGATAAAATTGATAAATAGCAGATTTTTAGCGATGGGCCCAATCTTAGAGCCATAGGCCAACATTAGAGCCATTTCCTCTATATTTTTATTTTATTTATTTTTTTTCTAGCATCGAGTGATAAACGAAACACGATTTGTTCCGGTTTTATTATTCAACGCTTGTATGAAAAAGTTTCGCTTTGACCTACGCAATGTGGCCCCAGTTCGACAGACCATTTTTTGACATACAATCGCGACTAAGTCCGAGGAACATCGAGTCAGGTTGAGCTGTGTCATTGATCAGACCTGGTAGGTTGGCACAAAAATTATGAAAATTGCCCAGGATCAGTTGCAGCCACAGATAATATGTTCGGAATCATTCACGTCATGGTCAGAAGTATCCAAAATCATCATAGGTTCTAGCAAATCCATTCAACACGACCTCTAACAACACCCATTTTAGTGAACCCCGGTGCCAATACGATCGTCCGCCGTTCGGATCAATCCAGCGTGACGATTCCGTACGAGCGAACGTTCCGTGCCGTTGGAACGAGCTCCACGCCCACCAACGCCAACGCACTGGCTCAGTTCCGATTCTGCGGTTGTGGATGGCCACAGCACATGCTCATACCGAAGGGAGCCACTGGCGATGGTGTCCAGTTCGACATCTTTGCCATGGTTTCGGACTATACCATCGATGCGATCAACCAAACCCAGGATCCGTAAGTTCTATTCAAATTTCTCGATCAATCAAACTCTAACGGTAGCATTTCACCCCACAGCAATGCCCCATGTGACGACGCTCACTCATTCTGCGGTTTGCGCGATAAGCTCTATCCGGATACTCGAGCCATGGGCTACCCCTTCGATCGGAGCACCGAGGCAACGGTGGAAACTTTGCAGGACTTTGTCAGCCCCAATGCGAACATGGGGACTGGAACCATCCGGGTTAGATTCAGCAATACCGTCATCGCACGCACTTGAATTCTTTTCTAGTAAATGAAAAAGCCATAAAGGTTTGTAAGCTCAAAATCAAGTTTAAATAAATCGATTCAACTTCATCTTTAACATGGTTCTCATTTTGTAATCAATCACTTTACTGTTTCACTTAGCACTTTTGATAATGCATTTGGATCAATCTCCCACTGTTCGTTGATGGGCAACCAGGATGTGAAGGCCGATATGGGGTTTTGGTTTGGCTGATCCCGGTACGATGGAGCGTTGACAATTTTATTCAATGTGTTCACCAGTATGCCGATTGATTGTCCGGGTTGATAAGAGTTGTGTTTATCGTCGTATGTTGAGTCCGTCAGTAGAACGGACGGCACCCAAACTAGCCACAGCAACGTTACGATAAGATGCATGACCGCAAAGATTGAACCACAAAGTTAGACTGAGTGTTTTGTTGGTTCATTTTTTAAACGTAGGCTTAATTTGGTTCAGCTTAATCAGCTGGTGAGAACATGCCCGAGGCATGCATCTCGTTGCTATATGTTTTGTGGTGAATTGAGGAATATGCAGCAGAGTATACTCTTACTGGGAACGGTGACAACATTTGAATTTATTTACATTTGTTCGTTTAGTTTCAACGATTTCAAAGCTTCCTTTGAAAACAGATGTTCAAACAATTATCAATTGTGAAGTATTTGTTTTTGATTGAGGGCAGTGTTCGGAAAAATTTCCTTCATTGAGCCCTCCTGAGAGAATTTACTCCCGTGTGAATTTACCATTGAGATTATCATGCATATCCACGCACTCATACTCATCACAATGCCAAAAAACTCGTTCCAGATTAAAACTTATAAATAACACCCAAACATCAATTGATAGCATGCTCAAGTATGTTTGGTTAGTTTTCCAATGTCAATAAGTTTGTGATCCAGAAATCTCATCGGTAATTATTGCGCAGCTGAGGAGCAAGGCAAAGCTCATTGGTCAATAATCTCACATACGAGATTTGACTTTTTGAGATTTTCCGAACACTGATTGAGGAAAAATCTACTCAAAGAAACTGGTTATTCTATTATATCTGGAGATTTTATTTCAAATTTAATGATTGACTTTATCTTAAAATGTTGGTAAATAAATCCCAGTTTTGTTACAAAGTGCTTGGGTTTTTTTTTTTAAATAGGCACTTTTATTTAATGTACACTGTACAACTTTGTATCAGACGGCATTTAGATTAGATTAGCCGTATAGTGCTATGATTTATTATAGAAATAAATAAATATTGAAAAATCCTGGCATAAACTTGGTTCACTGTCCCTAGTGAACAATTTTGTGATGTTTCGTCAGTTGGCGTGGAACTGCTCCCTTACTGCTTACTGCTTCCGACGAGATGGTTCTGAATGCACTCACAACTCGCATGGCCATCCTGAACGTTCTGTTCAACTTCGCTTGATTCCGGTTGGTTTCCGGCACTGAATTCCATGGTGGACCTCCAAACCTAAGTATTGGCGAAGGTACGCTAGCCAGAAAATGTATCTTGTTTGATTTAGAACTGTTGTAACATTTCCTCTTTTTCTTGCGTCTCGCCTCCTACTGTTAAGACGAGGGTGTCAGCAATGACAACGATCTCGACACCTTTGGCCATCTTAAGCGTCGGCATCCCGTCGTTCCATAGCGTTGGGCTATCACCTGAAGTGATGTGGCCAGAAACTGGCTTTAGTCAAATCTCATGATTCGATTTATAAAATCCTATATTTATAAGAAGGATTCAATCTTACCATAGGTGGATAAATTTTGGTGTTTTACAAGCAGACTAGTAGAGGCTGTCTTAGCAATAAGGTTCAATTTACTTTGAAGCATTTTCGGAAAATTCAAATGCAGTTTTTTTCGACGTATCATTTCAGATTGCAAAAAGCTCTGTTGCAATATATCTACTAGCATTAAATTGTTCCATAACATTTTGTGTTGACCATGAATAAGGCAATAACGATAAAATTAATAATTTTTCACTTCTTGCAGTGGATGCATTGGAAAACTTTTCCTTCATGTTTTCTAAAACTTCTTTGAGTTCATTCACTTCGTCAGCCTCAGGCTCGAAGTTGAAAAGATTCTTTTTAATACCTTCGTTGATTTCACGGTGCTTCTTTTCGGGGTAGTGGATGTAGTTGAGTTTTCCCACGTCTATCGGTGATACCTGGATTCCTGCAATGCCTCGGTTGAATATCTCGATGTTGACTGGTTGAGTGAATTCTTGGTACGATTGAACTGAAGTAACTGATGTCATTGGTGGTACAGTTGTAAGGCTTTCATAGCTCGATACGACAGGTACTATCACTGTAGTTGGCATCCTTGAGCTTCCGGCAACATGCTGTTCCTCATTTGAGATGAAAAGAGCTTGTTTATCAACACGAAGACGGCAAGACGTGCAAATGCGAAAACCAGTATTCAATCATGATGCTTCAGAATATCCAATCGATTTTAATTTCTGAATGGTAATATTCGAAATATTCCTCAGCTCTTTCGAGCACTTGACTTCCTCGAACGGCCGAATGCACCTGATAAAACATGCTCGTTTACTCATGTTGCTTCTTGTATTAAACAAAAAAAAATATAATCTTTAAAAATGATTTCATTGAAATACAACTGAAGGTTATGCTTACCTTTTAACCAAATGCTGTTACACTTATTTCCTATGATAAGTTTTTAAGATGTATGCGGTAAAAAGCAATCTTTGTGATCAACTAATTGTTTTCACCATTCAAACTCATTTAAGTATCAGATCGATAGGTATAATTTCTACATTAGGTACAGACAAATGTTTTTGGTGTTCACTACTACAGTGTTGAGTATTTGACTTATTACCGTTAAGATCACTGACACTACTTTCAATTCAAGACAATGAATAAAAAAGAAAATTAAAAAAATCGTCAAATTGAATGGAATTGCTTCTTCAGTAAGGGTCGCTAGTTTGAACATCATATCACTTTTATTTAGTTCTAGCTCAATATTCATCAAATGATTTTTTTAGTTTTGTTAGTAACGATACCTTTTCATGGTATCAGATGTAATGAATCCTAACTTTTCAATAGGGCCTGTGTAGAAAAACACTAATGAAGTAAACATACCTATATCGCAAAAACGGCTTGCATGATTGCTATGGTGTCTTCGGGAAAGCTGTGCAAAATTAAAATGCAATTCTTGAAAAAATATACACGGTTGAAAAACATGTGTTTTTAATGAAAATGTAAAAACCGTGAAATTTTCAAAAAATCATAACTTTTTTTGTTTTTGAGTTTACCAACAGACCAATTCCACGCCAAATCGGTCAGTCACCAAACTTGACTATCTTCGATCTGGATGATACATGGCACATATTTTCAGTATGATAGACCAAGTATTTTCCGCAGGAGAGGAGACCCTTTTGACTCAAGGGTAATTTTTGAAAAGGGCCTATGTGTTTTTGCACACATACTTTAAAAAAAATGTAGTTCGAAAACAGTTTTTTTTTTTTTTTCCTTTGGTTTGTTTTTTCCGTTGATCTTGTTTTCCGTGCTGAGCACCAATGCTACCGACGTGCCAGTAAGGCAGCTCCCACACCTGGACCCTACCTATCGACCCATCAACTCATGAACCGGGGACCAACGGCTTTACTTCCCATCCGAAGGAAGGCGTGATCAGAGATGTTATGCTTCGGGATTGAACCCAGGCCTGCTGGGGTGAGAGGTAATCACGCTTACCACCACACCACCGACGCCGTTTCCGAAAACAGTTGGTTGTAGAAAAAAATTTACTAAGAAAGAGTTGTAGGAAACTAATAAGGCTTTATAAAAAAAAAATATACACGGAATTTTTTATTCGTTTTTTTACAAAAAAAAATTAAAATAAACCTCAAATTCAAATAACAAAAAAAAAAACGTATTTTTGATTTTTTTATTTTTTTAATAAAAACTTGAATAGAAAGTAGAAGTTTTGAAAACAACTCCAGGATGAACAAACTTTTAATAAAAAAGTTTTTTTAAGAGCAACTTTTAAGGCATTTTTGAAACTTTCATTATTTACGGCAAAATGCTCAGTTTGATGTCAGTATATAATTATAAAAATCATTTCAAACGATAATGCTCATATCGATAAACTTCCTATATGTAACAGTTTTCGAGATATTTCAAATTTACTTTCATCATAATCATTTTTTTGTGGAAAATATGCCCTTTTCGTAAGTTAACCATCAAATATGATAAGTTTTGCAAGATATGCATGTACTTACCTTCAACTTACCCTTGCACCAATAGACTATTGGAAAATTGGTTTTAAACTTATAAGATAAATAAGATAAATAAATGAAATACTCATGCGTTTCTATTTGCATCTTACATTTATTACTTTCGATCGCCTTTAATAATAATAATTTGTACATAAACCTTTCCGTTGGATATATTTTTATTTGATGAACATTTGATTGGCATGTTTTTGTATGTTATGAATGGTGCGTTCTTCGTCATTCGAAAATAGTTTCGCTGATATTTTATTTTCGGAAATCGGAACAATACAGTGATATTTTCTTGTACCTGGGATCGTTTTGGCCTTTTCAAAAATGCTTTTCCATTCTGCAGCCCCCTGTTCGTATTCCTTTTGTGACACAAAACAAAATGACATTTTTGTTAAATAATCATTACTCTTCTGGTTAGCCCATGCATATAACTCTGCTGCACTTGTGATTGGATGTTCGTGTTCTACAGCCACACTTGCGTTCCTTGATATTCGTTTTAATGTGCCACCAATCGCGTACCATGGTCTCTTGCCATGCGAAGTTGCAAAAAAGTGCCATTCAACATCAATATTGTACATCGTTTTAAATTTACAAAGACTTGCAAAATTTTTGCAATTTTTATATTGGGATGCAGCTCCATCAGACATACACATCGCTTTTTTTACTTGTATTTTTGTTTGCAAAAAGGTCAGTAATTTTGAAATAAATACTTGCACCGCAATTGTATCGTGTTTTAAAACTTCAGAGATTACGATCAAACTTAAATTTTTAATTATACCTGATTCTGAATAATAAATGCAAAAAGGATGAATA